AGAGAGAGAGAGAGAGAGAGAGAGAAATAAAAAAGTCACATAAAATTTATCAAGATCAACTTGCTACATCCATAGACCTTGGGAAATAACATCATAAGGCAGGAAGACATTTTTATCCAACTGCTTTGCTAAAAATTAAAATCTCAAAAATTCTGCAGGAAATATCAAAAGAGTGTAATCAAAGGCAAAAGACTGGGCTGAGAGGTGCCTGCCTGCCTGACAATGTAGAACTTTAATCGTAAATAATGAAACGAAACCATTTTCTTCGTTTAGCTGGGTTTTTTGTTCATTGCAGTAGCTAAAATAGAAAAAAAAATATCAAGGATTTTATTTTCTTTCAGCTCAGTTTACTGATGTTTTCGGATGAATCATGATCAGTTTAATAGAACTCCACAGTATATATTTGAAGATAGTTGATAAAATTTTCTCACTAGTTAAAAGCTGCCCAGCAGAATGAATTTGTGAGGCAGCGTGGTGGAATTAGGCTCTCATCAAAATAATCAAAGTGAAGAAACTTGCATTTTTCGGCAGGTTTGTGAATTTTTATCAAATTTTGGGGTTTTGGCTCAACACCTTTCATGCCCATTAAAGAACTCATTTCTGTGTGGATTTTTCTGAAAAGCGTTGATTAAAGGCACAAAAATATAAATTTGCAGTTACCACAGACTCTTAAGCTAAGGAAATAACTAATCTTTGGAGGCCATTTTCTCACTAATTTTACCTCTGAAAACAGGTGACCCCCACTTCCTTCTTTCGCAAATATCTCGACTTGTTTTCAAGATAAATGTATATTTTTTTCATTCAAATAAAGACAAATGAATAAGCTGTAAGATGATACCAATAACTCTACATGCCCAAAAATTGACGAGAGCCTGATTCCACCACACTGCCTCACATTTGTTAATGACAAAGTCGAGACCAGACTCAAGAAGTCATTAGATTTGTCTCCTGACCACACAAAACTTACCTCAGCTTCAACCTTCCTCTCATTAGATTTGTATAAATTTCAAACACTCCTGAAACATACACAAAAATAAAGGAAGATGATGACGATGATGATGATGATGATGATGATGATAATAATAATGACAAGGGGTTGGGAGTTAGAAAGGGAATATATTTTCAATACCATAGTCATTACAAACCGTTAGAAATGACACATTCTACATAAATCAGCACACAGCTATGCAAGACGATTGCTCCTCTGGCTTCAGTTTAACTGCCACAGTTCAAAACTCATTTACCCTTGATGGAGTCCACACAGAACTGCCGACAATATGTTCACACGCAACTGCCAACATTATGTCCAAATGTACACACAGAAAATTTGACCATACCTATATACAGACAAACACACTCACCGATGCTGACTATATGTACACACATCCACCAATAGCCCTCTGGCTCAAACTGAGGGTCAGTCTTAGCCACAGCCAAGGCAGAACAAAGGGAGATCATCAACATGAAGTAACTGTACACACTTGTGATCTGTCGAGGCAAACAGAGTTATATTCAAAATTGTAAATGTTTAATGCTCTCCATTGATTTGACACAACTTATATAATTCATGAGGTAACAGGTTTTGACTCTGCTCGTCATGACTAAGGCCACGTTTCCACCAAAGCAGAACCTATGTGATTTTTGTTGAGCTCAGCAAAATTCGGTCCAGTCGCTTTCAGCATGTGTAACAACGTCAAAGGTTAAGAAACGCAAGATGAGAATGAAAGAGCATGGAAGATTCGGGAAAAAATTTAGTAAAGTTAATAAGCATTTAAACTGGCAGTTTATGTGTAGGCTTTGTTAATTTTGAGGTGCTGATTATGAATATATAGCATTAGATTTGTCATTGGAAGTTACAAGTAAAAAATCTGTTTCTGATCTGGTTGGGCCTATGGTAGATAAGTCACCAGCTAATCCAACTAAAATGCTGCAAGCATTCCAATCGATCTGACTTTTGTCGAGAGGAATCAGGTCGTTTTGGTGGACACACCCAAAAGGAATTCTCACGGATTACTATGGGGAAAAAAACTGGAGCCTTATTTTAATAACCGACTTCCAGTGAGACAGACAACTTTTTGGTTTGTTGGTTTCTAGTTTGGTGGACATGAGGGCTAACCTGGCAGAGAAAGATACAACATCCCAGCAGATATACAGAGATACTCAATACAAAACTTCCCCACTCGGAAATTGTGTTTTATAGGTATAAAGAACAGCCTAACCAATAAAACACATGCTGGTGAGACAAAGGAGATCATCCACTTATTAGATCAATCTATGAAAAATTACACATTGTCACTGACAGATTCTAAATGGCAAACTCAAGTTTCTGTAAACTTTAGTTCTTTAAATTTTAGAGGACAGTTAAAAAAAAGGTAAAAAGCAGAACAATTAAATACATTTCAGCTGTTTAGAACTCTATCTTGTTATAACTATTTCAATAGATTAATCTAACTGAAAGTTATTTATAGCAAGTGTTGTGTGATGTTAGTCAGAAATCAGGGAAAAAAGAACCAAAAGCCCCGATTTTGTGGTTAGCAGTTTAGAATCCTGCAGTGATGATATAAAATTCCAAAGGCGCCAAGACCCATGCCTAACAGTGATCTTATCTTGAAGGTTAGCTATGAACGCAGACAGACACTCCTCACTTACCTGTCCATGAAACAGTAACTCAGCCGTGGCTTTGAAGACAAGGACAATGTTTTGCATGACAAAAAACACTGGAATGGGCTGAAAGTAGTCAAGATGGTGAACAGTGAGTCAGAGCTGTATCAGATTACATCTTCCTTATAGAAAGGTCTTGTAATTAAATTCCTGCTTGAGGTTGAATGATGCATTTGATGTGATAAGTACTTTTTGTCAGCTTTACTTCTCTTTTCATATTGAATTTTAATGAGAGTAATATATAATTTGTATACCTGCCTGTGTTTTTACGGTCCTGTACAGCAAAGAAAAAATTCCCTTTGGGATAATAAAGTATTATCCTGTCTTAGAACTTTGTCTGTGAGTCAAAACAGAGCCAGTTTTAGTTTTAGTAAAAGTGTTACAGCTTTTGCAAAGAAATTATGTCAAGTAAGTGCCAAAGATTCAAGGTCTTACTAGATAAAAACATACAAATAAAAGAGGGAGAGACAAGGATGGTACATGTTTGGCAGGAAAGAAGGAGCAAACCACACTGAAGCACCCACCAACTATCAACACTGTGTCAGTAACTCATAATAACTATCTCAATTGGTCAGAATTACGTTAATATGTCACAACCGTATGTCAGATCTGTCAGAACTGTGTATTAATGTGTCAGACAGTGTAAATGTGTAAGAAATAAACTATGTTAAAGCAGTAGAACTGAGTTAACATATCAAACTAATCGAACTATATCAAAGCCTCAGAACTACCTCAATTTGTCAAAGCTATGTCAACATGTCAGAACTTACTACGTCAATGCATCAGAACTACGCCAACATATCACACCTACTTCAAAGCAACAGGTAATGACCGGATGCCAATACTATGTCATGATGCCAAATACAAAAAACATACTGCAGCAATAATGCCAAAATGAGTTATTTGCACAGAAAAGGAAGAATAACGAGAGTATTGCGTCAGACAACTATGCCGCAGGCTTGCCAACTTATTTAAAAAGCCATTTAGGAAAATACAATGACATAACACTAGTAGTTTGTCTATCGATGACTGACGATGACCAATGTGTCCGCAGAGGAGAATATTTATGAAGAGAAATTACGTAACAACAAACATTACAATGATCCATTTGTTATTTTTTATATTGAACCTGAACAACACTACACCCAGTAGGACTGGTTTTTGTGTGGTATATCGCAACCTCAGAGCTTTCTTGTCATATCTCCATTCTTTTTAACAGTGAAAATGTGACATCTTCTTAAGCTCACTCTTTGTTATGAACTGTTTTCACTGTTATTAAAAATGTAGATACGACAAGAAAGCACTGGAGTTGCAATATGTGAAAAAATTTGGCCTATCAAAGAGGTGGAAGCTAAAATGTCCCCTCAAATTCCCAACAGCCACAATCTCAGGAAATCTGTGACAGTTGGCAAGCCCGGCTACTCCGTGACCTCACCAAGTTGGCCAAGGCTCTGGACCCTGAGTAGATGGACAGGAGGAAGCACATCATGCCCGGCAGCCAGAGGGCACATTCGTGCCTAAAAGGGAGGATTGGGGGTGGGGGTGGGGG